TCCCCTTCCCACTAAGGAACCACCTTTGCTCGATTTAGCTCTGTAGCCAACAAGTTTAGAATAGAGGCAAGCAAATATTTTGTTGAAAGGAAGCAGAAGGATGGATGGATGAATGGATTCATGGCACGAGAGTACAACAACAGAATTTGATTTTTCTTCGGTCACTTATGAGTTTCTCTTTGGAAAGTAATTTAGGCTCTGAGAGTACTTCACCAGGCAGCTTTGAGAAACAAAGGGGATATATAATTTTAAGAAAAAAAACAGCATGTCTCAAACAGCATGTTTTTCTTAAGACCAGTGTTCCTTAAGACATCAGAGGGTGTAACGGACAATTGAGAAATGCTGGGTCGAATAACACTCAATATGGATCTACATTTCACTATTTGCCCAAGATTTCACTATAGACCAAATGTTTGTGTCCCTTCAAAACTCATATGCAGAAATGTAACCCAGCAGAGAGACACCGCAGGGCTGTCTTGCGAAGCCATGTGGATAACATTGTCACCCCAGTGGCCCAGAAGGCAGATCATTGAGCCAAAGTGGATTATTCTTTATCCTTAAGGTCTAATGGAATCTGCTTCTTTAGATTTTAGACTTACTTGGGACCTGTTACTCTTTTCTTTTTTCCTATTTCTTCCTTTTGGAATGAGAATGCTGTCCTATGCCTGCCCCATCATTGTGTGCATCATTTTGAAAGCACATAACGTATTAGGTTTCATAGATTCACAGCTGGAGAAGAATTTGCCTCAGGATGAATCGTACCTTTAGTGTCTACGGTGTTTAGTAGTACCGATATCTGATTGAAATGGTATTCACATGAGGCTTTGGACTTTAAAGTTGACGCTGGAATGAGTTAAGACTTTGGGAGTTATTGGGATGGAATGAATGTATTTTGCATGTGAGAAGGACATGAATTTTGGGGGGTCAGAGTTAGGATGCTATTGAATGAATATTTGTGTCTCCCAGAGATTCGTATGTTGAAGCCTAATGCTCAGTGTGATGATATTTAGAGGTGGGGACTTTGGGAAAGTGATTACATCATGAGGGTGGAGCCTTCAAGAGTGAGATTAGTGCCCTTATAAATGAGACCCCAGGGTATTCCCTCTGCCTTGTAAGGACAAAGTGAGAAGACTGCCATCCACAAACTAGGAAGCAAGTCTTCGCTAGACACCACTCCTACCAGCGCCTTGATCTTGGACTTTCCAGCCTCCAGAATCATGAGAAATAAATTTCTATTCTTTATAAGCCACCCAGTCTATAGTATTCTGTTCTAGCAGCCTGACTAATTAAGATAGACTTTGTTTCTCTAAATGGGCACAATGAAACTGCAACGCTATAAAATGTTTCCCAAATTATTTTTTAACATAAAATCCTTTTTTTCCCCCCTTAGATCACCCTGTGATATATTAGATTTCCAGAAGAAATGTTTTGGAACACACCTTAACATCTTAAAATTATTAGACATTTTTATTATTGTTCTACAATTACATAACGGATCATTAAGTTGGCACTACCTGAAGCAGAACCGATGAAGCCAAATTAAATCTCCAAATCATATTGAATATTATGGCTGGCTTAGATTAACGTGTAAAACTTTTCTCTAACCTGGATAAATTTTAATAAATGTCCTACGTAGAATTCCATGATCACCAAGGAATACATTGCAACCTTTTGATAACTAAACGATTCATCATGATAAATGCTTGTTGAGGAAGCTCCCATCTTATTGTCACTTATGTAGGATAATAAATTAGGATTGTACACTATAATAAGGTGTCCAATAACGTTCTAACTCATAGAAAAATTCAAGGCGTTAGGAAGATGAGCAGCATAACTAGTTGCCATATCCTTACGATGTTTCAAATGGGAAATAAAATTGATGGTTGAAGGCAGAGAATATCTTCTAAACTTTAAATATTTTGGAATACCTTCTATGTGCAAGGCCCTCTGCTAAACATAGCAGCTTAGTCCTGGTGAACTTCTGCTTGGTCCAGAGGCTGGTCCCTATCTGTGCGTCCCTTCTGACTTGATGGTAGGATTTCTCTGGGAGTTACGTAGTTCACTGGCAGCACCTGTTTCAGTGGGGACAGCAAGGCCACCACATATATATGCCCCAAGATCACAGAGTTTTGTTTGCTTTAACCTGCTTCTGTGCAGAACCCCTCCATTTAAGGGGGAAAATCAGGCTGCAGAAGAATACCAGAAAAAGATTGAAACATTCATATATTCGCAATTTTGTACCATGATACATATTTTACTGAGGAAATTAAACATGAGGCCAAGAGTTTTGAATGTTTGTTCACATCTAAATGAATGTCTGGATTGTTTTTTCTCTTCACCCAAATATTGTGCCGTTATGTGGCCAAAGCCTGTAGAGAAATCTTTAGAAATCTGGACTCTGAAAATTTTGACTCAAATCCAATAGTCAATTAAATGAATGATAAGTGCAAGAAATAAGCATGCAATTCTTGGTTTAAAACTCGTCAGTTTTTTTTCTTTTATTGCAGCAACATTGGTTTATAGCATTATATAAATTTCAGGTATACGTCGTTATATATTTCTATTTCTGTGTAGATTACATGTTCACTACCCAAAGATTAATTACAATCCACCACCACACACATGTGCCTAATCACCCCTTTCGTCCTCCTCCCTCCCCTCTTCCCCTCTGGTAACCACTAATCCAATCTCTGTTGCTATATGTTTGTTTGTCATTGTTTTTATCTTCTATTTATGGGTGAGATCCCACAGTATTTGACTTTCTCCCTCTGGCTTATTTCACTTAGCAGATGCCCTCAAGGCCCATCCATGTTGTCACAAATGGCTGGATTTCATTTTTCCTTATGGCTGAATAGGATTGCATTGTGTATATATACTAAATCTTCCCTATCCATTTGTCCCTTTAATGGGCACCTAGGTTGCCTCCAAGTCTTGGCTATTATGAGTAATGCTGCAATGAACATAGGGGTGCACATATCTTCATGCATTCATGTTTTCATGTTCTTTGGATAAATACCCAGCAGTGGATTATGGATCATATGGTAGATCTATTTTTAATTTTTAAGGGAATCTTCATACTGTTTTCCATAGTGGCTGTACCAGTTTGCACTCCCACTAGCAGTGTATGAGGCTTCCCTTCTCTCCACATCCTCTCCAACACTTATTGTTTCCTGTGGTGTTAATTATAAGCTAGCCAGTTTTAATCAACACTGACTAAAGATTATATTTCCTGGGATCATGTGTTCTAATTTTCTGAGACTTTAGCATATATTCATACTCATATTTTATATATATGATAATTGTCTTAACTCTCAATAGGTTTCCTAATTAATATTTATGATTTCTTCTATGCCTTTGTACAAATTCAATTTTTCAGTTAAGTTTATTAAGTATAATTAATATATAATAAAATGCTTATATTATATTTTAAAGATACAGTTAAGTGCGTTTTGACAAATATACACATGCATACAGCCACCAACCCAATCAATACCTAGGTTTCTATCACTCCAGAAAATTCTCTTATGCCTCTTTCCAGTTAGTCTCCCCTGACCTCCTGCCCCAGGCAATCACAGATCTGATTTTAATAACTATAGGTTAATTTCACCTGTTTTAGTACTTCATGTTAGTGGAATCATCCTATAAATTTATCTTGCCTCACATCCCACCTCTGAGGCTAGAATGAGGATTTTTCGTGACATGGAAGCTGTTGAATATAGTCATATTTGATAGTTCTTTCCTTTGGACTTGTTTCCTAAAAATCTAGTCCATTTGCTGCACAGGCCTGACTCGGAGAACACTGTGAACCAAAGTTAACATCTTGCCAAAAGTTATCCACAGGTTATAAACCATCTGAAGATTTTTTCCTCTCTCTTCCTTTCCAAAATTTGATGACAATTTCCACTTCTCAACCAGAAGAGATATTTACAGTAAGCATTTGCAATCTATCTAGCTATGTAATAGTGCTGTGCTTTTTAATTATAATTTTAATGTTTTTTAGTCTGACCCCAAAAGTTCGTGAAAACATTCATATCATTCCCGTCTTCATATTTATAATAATCCCTTATTTAAACTTTGAAAGTTTCCCCTCTTTGAGTCATCTTATTAGCCTATTTTTCTCACTTGGTGGTTTTTAGTTTTTTGTTTTTTTTTTCAGTTATAGCAGTGGAAACTTAGTAATGTGTTTCCTTAAGGTAGAAGACTCTGAAACAAATTCACCATCATCAATTCTGATACACACGGAAGTGATTTGCCTATACTTACAAATAAGGAACAAGTCGTGTTTGAAGAAGAAAGGAAAAAAGAAAGAAAGAAAAGGATGCTTATTGCAGTGTGGATGGAATTTCCCAGACCTAAATTGTTTTAGAAATAGGGAAAAAAGACACAAACAGCAATGTAAACATGGCTGTTAGCAGTACCATCCAAAATATTTCCCATATGGCCAATGTGTGTCAACAAAGCAATTCCTGTTTAAGCAACGCAACGTAAAATTATAGAAGGATGCTGCCAAAATTTTGCAGAATGCAACTGGCCTCCACACTTGAGGAAACAGACACTCTCTGAACTTGTGAGAGGAAGGACCAGAGCTCTGCTCCTGAAGACCTGCCCGGAGCCAGACCACACCTGAGGCTGAAACACAAACTGCTGGTTGGTGGTCATGCCTTTCAGAGGTGCACCTCAGTCAGGAGGCAGAGACGAGGAGACTGTCAGGAAAGGCAAATGACAGTAGTCATTATGGTAATAATGGCCATAGATAAGCATATTAATCATATTCTAGGCACTCTATAGGCAGCAATCCAGACAAATAGGTATTATTATAAAATTAATGGATCAGAAAACTAAGGCTCAGAAAAATTAACTAACTTGCCCTTGATCACTTGGCTAGAAAATGGCTAAGTTGGGATTCAACTCATACCATCCCTTCTTTCAAACTGCTCCCAATTTGTGAGTGTTTATCATCCACTAAGCACAGTACTGGGTGTTTCTGTACATTAAACCACTTGCTACTCACAACAGCAGATATTATCATCATTGCTTTAATAGAGGAAGTGGACGTTTGGAGAGGTGAGATAATGTTTTTGAAACTGCTGGCAATGGCAGAACAAAGATTCAAAACCATGTCTATCTGACTACAAAGCTCAAGTCCTTTCAGAAAAGTGTTGTCTCTCATGTGGTTTATCGTCCTCTTTACCTGAAGAAATTGGGAATTTGTTAACATGTAGAAAGTGCATCCGTTCTTAAAATGAAGGATGAACAATTATCTTCCAGTCTTCACCTGCATCATACTATCAACTGTAGATTAATTCACTCTGGAAGCTTGTGACTTCATGATTTATATCTACAAAGAAGGGAAAACGACAGACAAGCGTTAAAGTTCTGTAACCTAGACTACAAACATCTGTTGCTATGTATTAAAAAGGAGGTAGATAGATGTAATAACAATACCTTTCTGATTGTTCTTTCACAACAGAAGATACTCTCCAATTATGGACATAGATTAAAAAATAAAGTTTTTCTTTTTCAAAATATGAGGTTTTGAATTCAAGGTCTTTAACAATGACTTCCAAAGGAAAAGTAAGAGAAAGTCATTCTCATTAGTGAACATGATGATTATCTATTTTTAAATACTCAAGTACAGATTATTTTGCTAATGTAAAACTTTTGTAAAAACAATTGAGATAACACTTTATTAAATGCTGAACCAAACTCAGAAGCTATTGTAATTATATATAAAATTTCAGAGGCCCTTAACTAATAAGAAAGGTAACTCAAGAAGTAGAATTTGAGCCTAATATTATAAATTCAAGTCCCTTGATGATGTTGCTTTCACCGAAATTAGATGTTAAATATACATACAATTTCTTTAATAACATCCCCTTGAAGTGAGTTACGGAAAGAAGGCAACTGACAGTGCTGAGAATTTGCAACTGTACTGCATTTCTCTGCATATGTTCAGAATCACGGCCCTGAGCAGGGTCCGTGGTCCCGTGTGATTTTCAGCAAGCCATTTTAGCTCAAGTTATCAGAAACAGATGACAAATGGCTAAAAATATTTTCAAATAATGCTAAACCAGCAACAGCCCAGCTGAAGACCAGCTGACTCATCAAGTTTGGTCTATCCTGCCGAGAAAAGCTAAAATAGTCTAACCTTTGGATCAACTGTCTTGTAATGCTGCTTCATCAGAACTAAGACCCTTGTCCCAGATAGGAGGACAGAAACACAGCTCTTAGTGCTGGAGAAGCTCAAGGACACAATGTTCATATCAATGAGGCTCAGACCCTTTCTTGTCTTCCAGGCCCTGAGAAGGACGGAATGAGATGGTGGAATGACCGTCTATTCATAAACAATAAATCTCAGGTTAGAATCTCAATTTTTTTACATTATTCTTAGGTATATTACTCTCATGTGTTTTCACGGGAACTAAAGAAGAGAAAAAAGGTCACAGAATCACATGCATGTCTTCTGAAACTTTTGGCCCTGTTGTAAAAAGCATTATCCCTATACTGAGCTCATCCCATAGTGCTCTAATAGAAGATTGGGAGAGGCTCTTCTTTTTATCATTGTTCATCTGGTACTGAGAGAGGGGATCACAGAGCTGATCACAGACAGACAACAAAAAACAACTGGAACATACCAAACCGGATTCACGGTCGTACCAGCTGACTAGGCAAAACAATGGGACGGTGTCCAGATAAGCAAAGTGAAGTGACAACCCCACTGAAAATTGGGGCAAGTAAAAGGGAGAGAAGGTAACCTCGCCCCTTAATAATTTTCTCCAGGTGACAAGCCAGACCCCATGCTATGTGCTAGCATTTTGTAGAATGAGGTCTCCATTAGCTGCTACTAATAATGATACCTGCAAGAAAGAAGCCCCGAATCTTCCACCTTATCAAACCACAAATCTGAAACTGACATAAAAAGCGCTGAGTTAATAATATTTATTCTGGGCATTTGCAGCAGTAATCTCTTGAGAATGTAAGTACAACTTTACCCGAAAAATTGCTTATATAAAAATTTTAAACTATCTGCAAATATTTAATTTTTAAAGTAAGTTTTTAGTCTTCTCTAAACCAATCTCTGGCCATTCTGAGATTTACATAGAATTAGTTTAGTTTCGGTCACGTCTAATGTTGTCTGAGAGATTTTCTTTCTGACCTTATGCAAAGGACAAGATTGTTGTCCTATGTTCTTCCAATTTTTTTTAATGATTAAATAATTCATTTTTTACGTATTAATTTTATTGTTAATACTGTTATTTTCTCTTTCAATTGTCAGACTGTACTTTGTTCTACACAGTTGTTGCCAAATTTAACTATTTTTTCTATTTGGCAAGTAAAATGTTCAATGTGAATGAAATAAGTGTGACATTAGGTCCTGTGGATTCCTTCCATGTAAGACTGAGTCTCCCATGTGAAGAAAGTGTTCTCCTATAAAATCTGAACTAAAAGATTTTTCTCATCTCCAGATCACTCTTGGGCTCCGTCAAGGCTTGGACAATGATTGTCCTTTAGATGACATTATTCCTTAAAACTAAAGATCCTTAAATTAAGAAATAACAGTCACTCTTGATTTTGTCTATAGGCTGGAACTTTTAGCATATTTGTCAGCATAAAGATTCTCTTGTCTAGAATGAGTTGGCAAGTGGGAAACAAAATCTCCCATTTACCCATTTGTACACCTCAGATTTAGTAGAAGCTTGAAAATAAATAGAAAGTAATTTATAAGGTTGTAAGCTAATTTTCCTCAGTATTTCATAATCAATAGGAATATCTAAGACATTAAAGAAGTAAAACACTGTCGTGCTTGATCTGCATGACAGGGGTGGCAGCATAGCAGAGTGGACAGCATGGAGGGGTCATGGCCTCTATACTAAAAGATACTGTCCAAACCTTGGCTCTATTTGTTTGCTTTGTGACCTTGGTTAAGCTACTTAATCTCTCTGAGCATTGACTTCTTCACCTATAAACTAAAAGTAGTTATTCTCACTTTCTGGGTATATTGTTAGGGATATAGCAGACCTCTAGTAAATGTTATTTCTCTTTCCTTTCATGAAAGCCTAATGTATTTATCGTGATCTAAAATGAAGTGAACAGAACATAATCACAACAGAATGAAAACTTCCTCTCCGGCCACTCTCCCTGCTCCTCCTTCTGCTCCTGTCACCTTGTTCTTTCCCAGCTTCAAGGCTGGCTCTTTCTCTTCCAGGAACACGTTTCCCCTACACATCCCCAGACACAGCGTCTCTTACAAGCCTTGACTAAAACGTCATCTCAATGAGATCCACCCTGTGTAGAAGTGTAACCCACACCCTGATCCTCCCAGCCACACACTCTTGATCACTATCATCTAGCTCTGGTTTTTTTCCACACCGCTTACCACATTCTAACTTCCTATTTTCTTTCTTTCTTTCTTCTCACTCTTTATTTTCAGAAGACAATATGCTTCACTGACATTAAGTGCCACAAGGGCAGGGACATTTGTCTGTTTTGTTTATTGATGTATCGCAAGTGCCTAGAACTGCACATTAGAGGAGTTCAATAAACACTTCTCCCTATTTTGCGTTTTATAAGATTAGATAAGGTTATAGAAGACAAGGATCAAAGTAAATATCTCTCCTTAACTTCTATATTTGTAAATATTTTTAATGTTTTCTTAAACTTTTTAAAGTTCCTGGAATAACTTTCGATTCACAGAAAAGTTACAAAGATAGGACAGGGAGTTTCCGTATATCCTTCACCCAGCTTCCCCCAGTGATAACGTCTTATGTAACCATGGTACATTTGTCAAAACTAAGAAATTAATGTTCTATCAATACTTTTTTAAACAAATGAATAGTGATAAAGCACCAAGCCATCTATGAAGTTTATGCTCATACCTTCATGCCATTAACCCAGAATAGAGAGTGACAAGAACAGAATGTCCTAAAACTATTTCACTTCCTCTCTGTTTTCTTTCATATTTTGTCATCCTGGAAATCCTTTCTGTGTGAATAACATGTATATTTAAGGGCTTGGGTTGGTAGATTTGCAAAAGACTTTCCCACCAGAGATATCTAGAAGACCCCTGAAAATCTCTGGTAGGAAAGCCTTTAAAACTCTTGTAAAAATATCCCATGACTGTCTACTATATCACCAGCTGAAAAGAAAATCTCCTTCATTTTTAAAATAGGAGGATAAGGAAAACAGAGAACATATAACACTATTCTTAATGAGAAGCTCTTTTTTGTTTCTAACATGTAAATGTATACTCAGTGTTCTGGGAAATGATTCTAGAAGGCCAAGGTGTTCACAAAGCGCTAAGGACTGTGCTACACATCCTCATTAGCTTAAACTGAGATAAAGGAACTCACAAAGCACCCCCCACGATTCACAATTTGTGGGCAGGGGATCTGTGTATAACAGCTATCACTTTTCCCAGTCTGCAGCAAAAGCAGCCCAGAAGAGGCCAATGCATGATGGCGCTTGATCAATGAAGCTTGATGGTACAGCTGGGACTTTTGCAACTGCAAAACATTGGGCACTTGCAATTACTGGGACTCCTCTTCTGTAAACCTCTAAGAACATTTCTAATCGTTCTTGGTCCTGGTTTACCTTACCACTGTCCCTCTCCTTAATTCTCCACCTTACCTTGTATCACCTCTAATTTTGTTTCAGTTCAACTTATTTTATTCACTAATTCAACAAACATTTAGACACTATTAGCCAAAGAGACTCACACATGTTATTTCACTTAATTCAGGATGACCCTAGGACACATTAATACTTCACTTCATAAATGAAAAAACTGAAGATCAAAGACATTAAGAAACTTACCCACATAAATAACTGCCAGTAAGTGGCAGAGTCAGTATTCACACGAGGACCCGTGTGACTCCGAACTTGCTATCCGTTCCTTCTATGATGGTCTGCTGCATTCTGAGAAAAATTAAAATTATGCAGGAGTTTCTTTCTTTTCAAATGATTTCATGAAATCAAATAAATTTGATAAATTCATGTTTATTGGACAAGAGTATCTTAGGACTGAGGTTCAGCCAAATTAACGGATTCTTGACATCATGAATTTGTCATCATGCCACACAAGATGTAGAGGTGAGAATGGGAAGAGAAAAGGGAAATATTTTTGCATTTTCTTCAGTGGAAGGTGGAGAAAATGGGATGAGAAAATAGGCCCTGAATTTGAGTTTCTACCTCACACAGACATTCTCTGTACCCAGCTGAACAGGAAACCTCATGCCTCAAACCCACCCTGGGATCTCCCATCTCAAAGCCTTTGCTTATGGTGTTCCCCTGCCCTAACATCCTCCCCACACCTTGGGCTATGATTTCTACTTCTCTACTCTATTCCTCCATGGTGGCACCTACCATAATGCCTGCATGCTCCATAAAATTTGATTGAAAGAACAAGCTTCCCCAGATAGATGTCACATCCTTGGGCTACATAAACAATAGTCCACATTAAATAAAACAGTGATGGTCAAAGTGGGTGGAGGAGGAGCTGTTGGGAGAGAAGGCAGTGCAGTTTGAAAAGAAAGAAGCATTTTCCTACTTTCTTGGATTATTTTTAATTGTAGTAATTATTTATTCTATTTCAAATATCATAAAAGGAGGTCATGAAATTTATACTTGCCCTATTGACCTGGGGCATGGCGGTTATTTCACCTCTCTGCCTCAGGTTTTTCATCTGTAAAGCAAGAAAAATAATCTCACTGTAAGGACTGAATAAGATTATCTATTAACACACTTAGGTCATAATCTGGCACACAGTAGTCACTCAAAAGAAGTAGTTATTACCATTGTTATGATTATTGTTATTATTGCTATCTTCTAAATTTTAACTACCTTGAGCAGATCTTTGGGCCTCATTTTCTCACTTGTGTGTAACCTGTATATAAGCTTTAATGTCCCTTCCAGATATTAATTTCAAAGGTTTAAACCTCTCAGTACTTATATATTTCAGATTAACCCAGCATTATATAAGAATGTCAGGCCTCTGTTATTTTCTTCCACTATCCCTTGTACAGTTACATGACAATTTTATGTGTATATTTCCACGTATGTGAATGTGGTGTGTAATAGAAAGTTTGAGCCAACTAAAACATTTTTTACAACATTCTAAAGCAAAGATCCAAACTTTTGAAATATTAAAAATATTTTTGTTTGGTTTTAAAATGATAGTGCATTAAGTTTTAGACAAATTAAACTTGTTCAGAGAAGTTTAAGTGTTCTCACCAAGATTTATTGCTTTCCTGAGATATTTTGAGGTTCTAACTTGCTATGATTTTTTTAAAGTAAGTAACACTAAATTTAACCCAAAATCCAACATGTTGATATGAAAAACTAATTTCTGATATACTATCATTTTTCTCTTGTTCTTAACATAAGATATTTTCAGCTTATCTATTTTCAAATAGTTCCTAAATAATAGTTTGCTTTGGATGATTGACTATAGGAATTTTGCTCATATAATACCTCTAAAGCATGACATCTTAAATCACATACTCCTTTCACTTGTAACGTTTAAAGTGAATTTCATATTGTTACACAATTTATCATTTGGAGATGGAACAAGATATTTACACGGATTCCTTCTATACCTCCACAACTGAAAAATTATGGCCAAGTCTTATTAGAACCATGTGTGCTTGGTTATCACAACTGAATAGCAAAAGCTAGGAATGGTCTTGAATATACATATTCAAGGACATATGCATGGAAATCAAGGCCCAGTGACACAGGGTGGCTTAAGGAGCACTGAGCTTCCTCCCATATGACTTTTCAGAGATCTCTCTGAGAACACACTCAATGGACTCCCCAGTGCTGTGCCACCCTCTCCTGCTTCTACCTCCCTGCGTACCTGGCTTCTCAGTCAACTTTACTGGCCCCTTTTCCCTGAGCTTCCCCAGAAACCGGTCAGTGATCTGCTCTCCTGGTTTTTACTGCCAATTCTCAGAAATGGACTCCAATACACTACTTCTTGTCAACACATCTGTCATGAGCTTCAGATCTGTACAAGGAATAACCTATTGGACATCTCAGTTTACGTAGTCCACAGGTGAGCCAAGCTCCACCTGTCCAAAACAAGCTCAGTGTCTTTCCTTCAAAGTTCCATATTGGCACCATATGCTCCATCTCGATAGTGACACTAAATTCCTTGGTACTCAGTTTCCTCATGTTTAAACTCTAAAAATCTGAGGGGCCAGCCCTGTGGCGTAGTAGTTAAGTTCTCCTGCACATCACTTCAGTGGCCCAGGGTTCATGGGTTTGGATCCCAGGCACAGACCTACACACCACTCATCAAGCCATGCTGTGGTGGTGTCCCACAAACAAAATAGAGGAAGATTGCCACAGACGTTAGCTCAGCAACAATATTCTTCAAGAAAAAAAGGAAGATTTGTAACATGTTAGTACAAGGCCAATCCTCCTCACACACCCACACACAAAATTAAGAATCTGAGTTTAGTATTCTGTAAACTTATTAATCTGTGAGGTAAGAATCAAGCAATAAAGCATCATTGGGAAACTCAGCAGATCAATGAGATGATGGATGATGTAGAAGGTATCTAGAAAGAAGCAAGCAAATCTGTGTCAGTTGAGAAGTAATCATGTGAATTAAACTTAGATGAGAAGCATGTTTGGAGGATGGAGAGACAGATCTGCAAGATGCATGTTGTAGAGGAATAGGGCAGGAAGGCTTCAGTTAGGAGTTTAGACTCAGTGGAATAGAGACTGCATATTGGGAAGATTTAGGAAACAAATATTGGTATTGTGGGGCCAGACTGGGAAGGGCCTTAAAAACTCTGCAGAGGGGGCTGGCCTGGTAGCATAGTAGTTAAGTTTGTGCTCTCTGCTTCCACTGCCTGGGGTTCACTGGTTCAGATCCTGGGCACGGACCTACACGTCACTTATCAAGCTGTGCTGTGGCAGGCACCCCACATATAAAGTAGAGGAAGATGGGCATGGATGTTAGCTCAGGACCAGTCTTCCTCAGAAAAAAAGAGGAGCATTGGCAGCACAAGTTAGCTCATGGCAAATCTTCCTCAAAAAAAAAAAAAAAACTCTACAGAGGAGCTTGGATTTAATGTGATAGGCACCCCAGTGACATTACACTGTATCATGAGGGATCACTATGAGAAAGAGTGACTGAGCAGGAGAATGCAAGGTAGCTGAGAAGGGAAGAAAACAGACAGAACATTTGGTAAGAGGATCGACTTTGTAGGCAGACTGTGCAGGCGTGAGTCCTAGGTCAGCCATTTGGTACATATATGTCCTCTAGGCCTCAACTCCTTCTCTGTGAGATGGAGAGTAGTGAAGAGGAGGAGTGAAGCCTGTGACAGTAACTCTCAGTTCCTGCTATGGTCACAGATGGCATGAGGCATGTGGTGTAGGCCTGAACACCTATACATGACTGAGCAGAAGTCAAGTCAGAGAGGTACTTCAAAGGACACAATAGTAAGACTGAATGAAAGAAGAAGAAACGTAAAATGTAAATCTCAAGTTAATAGCTTGGAAATTTTAAGAATTACTGAACCTCAGAGAAAGACGGGGATCATTGAAAAGGGAGATTTGCCTGATGATAGAAAGACCGCATGGTCACTTCTTGGTCACCTTAGTTTGCTAGGCCATTATATCATGGGTCATTTCATCATGCGTTGACCACAGAGACAATGGGGAGAATGGAAGCCACTTATATAATCCTAAAATGAGGGATAATAATGGTAGTTCCAACTAGAAAATGAGGAAAAACTGAATTATCTGCAAGTTTACATGCAATTTAGCATTTAATATTTCATTGATTCTGCATACGACTTTAGAAACATCATGTCAAAAACTTACTTTGTGCTTGACATATTCCAAATAAGTTCTTAAAGTCTCCCAGCTTTTGAAAATAAAAGGTAATACAATTTTAGGACAAACTTCATCTGGCACCAAATTATGCCTGAAAAAAGAAGAGCTAATTTGCACTACAGGGTTAGTGTGGAGGGTGAGGGTATCTATTTAACTTGTATTATGCCTAGATATTAAACGGCCATCCAAATTTGCTTCACTGGGACATTTGATGTGCAGCGTAAAACACAACCGTAGATCTTTCTAGAACTGTGATTTGTCCACACACACTCAAGCATAGAGTTAAGCATAAATGGAACTCATATAAAATCAGTGTTTAATGATATTCAAAATTTGGAAATTACTTTCAATATATCAGGAATAAAGGGATACAAGCGAAAAATATTTGATATACTTACCATTACTATCAATACTGCAACAAAAAAACTGATCTGTATTTTACAAAACCCATCTCTAATGATCCACGCAACATCTTTTAGATGTAAAAGTGTATGCGATTCTAACATATTCAATCTCTCAATCAGCATTAATATTTGTGAAGTGCTTATTCTATTTAGAGCACTGTTCTGGGCACAGAAATTGACATCGTGGGAAATTTTAGCTTAATTCCCAAACTGAATACATCAAGGAGACAAAAATGATAGAGAAGATTTTAAAAACAATTTTAACAAGCAAGTAGATCCAGAAATAGATCAATCCCAAAGAACTGATATCATATACACTGCCTCTAACCATAATGCACTAAATTGGGAATCAAATTCTAAAATATAGCTTCCCCTGCCCCCTCAAAAAAATTGTATAAAAACTAAAAAATACCACTTATAAATAACTCATTAGCTACAAAAATAATAAAAAATATATAATAATTAGAACATTAAAATAGTACATATTGAAAATTGTATAATACAAGAAAAGAAATATTTAGAAGTAAGTTTATACTTTTAAATTCTGAAATTAGAATATAATAATAATCTAAAATAAATGAGCTAGCATTCAACTTAAGAATGTAGAAAATAGCAATGAAGTGAATTCAAAGGAAAAGAAAGAAGGAAACAAAGATTAAAGCAAAATTTTATGAAATAGAAAACATGTCACATGTGTACACAAAACAGTGAATATGAGCAACATAATAGAAAGCTATATATTTGAAAAAACAGGAAAGACAAACTTCTGACAAGATTAATTATGAAAATATTAATAAAATTAGGAATGGAAGAAAGAGGATAACTATAGGCAGATTTAATGTTTTTATTCAAAGTGGAATAGAATGAACAACACGTCAATAAACATGAAGAAAACTGAAATTGACAACGTTCTTGGAAATTAAAAAAATTCAAAAGTTAATCAAGAAAAAATAAAACTCCCAAATAACTGGATAAACATTAAAGAAAACTCTCCCTCCAAAGAGAGCCACCACATCTAGGTGATTTTAAAATGTAATAAATCTTAGAGTAATCCAAAAATTCCTAACTTATACAAAATGTTCCAGAGAATGGAAAGAAGAAAAGAATAGAAGAAGGAAAAAGAATTTTGTGAATTCCATCTAACAGTGTATCAAAACATAAGATATTGCAACAAAGTAGCATGTAACCCAGGAACTCAAAAATAGTTTAACATCTGGTAAATTGTATTAATTGCCACATTACCAGAT